TCTGCCCGCCTCGGGTCCCCAGCGCGCTGGGATTACTGGTGTGAGCCACCAGCCGGGTCACCTATTTGGTTGATTAAATCATTATCAACCCAATGATGACTGGGCTGCAGTAATCCAGCTTGCACATGCATGAACTGGAGTTCTGTCTACTATGTGCACCCGTCAGAATTTTATTTAGCCAAATTTATGTGTTAAACCTCACAACTTCCTGCTACCCACCAAACATCTTTCACAAACTTCCTGGTAGCCTTTTGCGACCCGACAGGATGAATCAATGAACAGCATTGTAAACAGTACTTTGCTTGCATTGAAATATTACCGTGCTCCCCTAGAAGAACAAAGGTTATTTATGAAAGCAGTGGTGACTAAGAAAATCAACTCTTATAAAATTACTAAGTTTTAAAAATAGATTGAAATACACTTGTTTTATTCTGATTATATGCAGTCTAAGCAATTAATCTTAGAAACAAAGAAACTACATTAGTTAACTGGGTTATATTAGAATGATTTTTTTCAGCAACCTTAAAATTATCTCCTTTATACAAATTTCTTTGCTATTTTTAAATGATCTCAGTAATTTCATTTCTGATTATGAAACTGGCACATATATACCATATAGAAAATATAGGAGATCACGGAGGAAAAAATACTCATGATTTCACTGTCCAGAGATTTAAGTGTGTAAGTTGAGTATCCCTAATCTGAAAATCTGAAATACTATTTATTGTTAAGTACTGATCTCAATTTCTGTAACCCTGATGAACTTATTCATTCTAGTAGTATTTTAGTATACTCCTTGAGGTTTTCTTCATATAAGAACGTATCATCCTCAAATAAAGGTAGTTTAACTTCTTCTGTTCCAATCTGTATACCTTTTTTTTAATTTTTTATTTCATTCTCTTACCTAATTGTCCTGGCTACTATCTCCAGTACAACATTGAATAGAAATGTTGAGAGTGGACATCATTGTATTATTCCTAATTCAAGGTGAAAGCATTGAGTCTGTCCCACTAAACATGATGTTAACTGAAGCTTTCTGACAGATGTCCTCTATCAGGTTGAGGAAGTTCCCTTCTATTCTTTGTTTGTTAAAAGAATACTGAATTTTGTCATATGCATTTCCCACGTCTATTGAGATGATCACATTAGTTTTGGTTTATTTTCTACTGATACTACATTAATTGGTTTTCAGATGTTAAACTAACCTTCTATCCCTGGGATAAATCCCACTTGGTCATCATGTATAATTTATGCAGATGTTACTGGATTCAGTTTCCTAATATTTTTTGAGGATTTTATGTCTGTATTTAAAGATGACATTCATTTGTAGTTTTCTTGTGATGTCTTGGAGTGTTGGAGTAATACTGCTCTCATAGAATAAGCTGGGAAGTGTTCTCTCCTCTAATTTTGGAAGAGTTTGTGAAAAAGTGATATCAACTCTCCTTTAGATGTTTAGTAGGATTTAGCTGTGAACCCATCTGGGCCCAGGCTTTTCTTGGTATGTGTTTTTTTTTTTGTTTGTTTGTTTGTTTTTTTTAAATTGCTAATTCAATCTCTTTAGTTTTAGAAGTCTATTCAGATATTCAGTTTTGATTGCTTGTTTTTTTTTCTGTATTTAAAGCTATTGCAAACTTCTACTTTGTAATGTTTGTGATAAGAAATAGAATGCCATCATTTCATTTAGTCCTCTGTATGTAATGTGCTTTTTCTCCTTTTATTCCTCTTAGGATTTTCTGTTCATCACTGGTTTTGATTAATGTGAGT